GATAGATAGATGATAAATAAATAAAATATAAATAAATGAATTAATGAAGGAGAAGGGGGACAAGAAGGAGGAGGAGGAGGTTACCTTACCAGTCATGGCCATTCCAATGGCTACCACCCCACCCTCAAGCTCTCTCCTAGTTAGCTTTGTCAAACTGACAAGCCTAGACTCATTTGAGAAGAAAGCCTCCGCTAAGGAACTGCCTAGATCAGGTTGGGCATGTCTGTGGGGGATTGTCTTGATTTCTTGATTGCTAATTTATGCAGGAAGGCCCCCACTCACTGTAGGTGGCCCCATCCCTAAGCAGGTGGGCCTGGGCTGTATAAAAAAGCCAGCGAAATATGAGCCTGGGTGAGTGAACCAGCAAGCAGTCCCTCTACAGTTTCTGCCTCCCAGTTCCTGCCCTGGTTTCCCTCAATGATGGATTGTTACCTGGGTGTATACATTAAATAAACCCTTTCCTCCCCAAGTTGCTTTTGATCAGAGTGTTTTTATCACAGCAACAGAATGAGAGTAGAACAGAGTAGAACTCCAACAAAGATAGATCACTCCAGATAGGACACTGACAGCAGACCAGAGAAATGACCCTATTATTGGTGGTCTCGGGCTTGACCAGGTATTTCCAGGTTTTTTTGTTTTTGTTTTTGTTTTTGTTTTTTTTGTTTTGTTTTGTTTTGTTTTTGTGTGTGTGTGTGTGTGTTTTGTTCAAATAACTGAAGACGTCCATACAGACATGGTAAAGCAGCAAGCGGCTTTATTCAGAATCAAAGGGAAATACAGGTGAGATACTCTACAGGATCACAGCAGGCTGCTCAACCTGGAGGGCTCAAGACCCCCTGGTCCTTTTGTGGGTCTAGGAGGAGGGACTGGTTGCTAGGGGCAGGATGGAGGTGGCCTTTTGGATTTGATTGATAGGCCTAGACATGTAAGCCTTTGCTGCGCATGTCTTAACCCACAATGAACCTGATATTTTAATCATGCACAGGTATAATACAGTACACAATTTTCCTCTAAATGCTTATTCAAAGGATACATTTTGACTTACTACTTATGCACCCCGAACCACTTCCCTCAGTTTCAGGATGTTTTTGGTCACAAAAGAGGAGTCGCTAAGCAGTTTTTAGGGAGGAATGACATTATGCATATGTACATGGTGGGGGGTCCCAAGTTGACACGCGCATTTTAAGGAAAGTAGTGCAAACATTGCTCTGGCCAAGTGGCATCCTGGGTTGCTCAGCTATTCCTACACTTTCCTACCTCAGTTCCGCCCAAGTCTACCTTGGTAAACCAGTGAGTTTTACCAGGAGTATAAGGGATTACTTATAGGAGCTAGGCTTACACAGTTAGGCACATCAGAAAAAAGCTCACCCCCGCATAAGTCACAACTCACAAAAGCAGCACCCCTGGAACTGCCTGCAACTTGTGCAGACTGGAGAGCCTCTTCTCCCCAGCCATGGTGACTGCCTTAATAACCCCGGAAGAGGGGCCTTGTGAATATCCCCAGCCGGGACAGCCTCACCAGCCTTGCAGGTTTTGTTTACTCCCTGAGGCTTGTGAATTCCGCTCACTCCCACCATTTTATCCTCTTCCTTCTTGGACAGGAGGTAGTGTTTCAAGTCAGAGGAAAAAGCTGCTGAACAGTCTCTCACTGGGCTTTCTCTTCCAGGGCTGTGTCTGTGCTACGGAGGTGAGGAAGAGAACGGTGAGTTTCCACGTGGCTTCAATGTGATTGATCCCTGTGCTGCGCTGTCCATGACCCTCTCCTCTTGTAGTAGCTGTAAGTGTTGCAGCTCTGAGGGGAAAGATTTCCTCGGTGCAAGGGCTACGTCTCTGAAGGGAAAAGCGCCCTGGCAGTCAGGAGCCAAGGAATACCACAGAGTCACACCACACAACAAACCTCACACAAGAGCTTTATTGGGACAGACACAAGACAGTGATTGCCTTTGCCGGGATCAGAAGCAGCAAAGGACTGAGCAGGAGGCCGGCTTTATGTACAGTTTCTTG